TTTTTTTTTTTTTTTTTTTTTTTTTTTTTTACAGAACACTAACTGTAAATTTATGAGAAAAACCTGATAAACTGATAACAGAACCTAGATTTACATAAATTCTTATTATGTGTGTATAATGTGAACCGAAGGTTGAGAAGCTAGATGACTGTCCGATGAGTGATGTCCATCTTGGGGTTACACTGAGATACCACCAGCTGTGTTCACAAGCGTGACCTATGGGAACTCAGCGTGGTACTCGGCCTACTCCCAAGTTTCATCCGGGACTTTCGAAGTGAGCCAATGAGCAAACAAGAATATTACCTAGATGGTTCTTTCATCAGATAAAAACAGTACCATGAACTTATCTTACCGAAGCCTCTTGCATTTCGTCATGGCAGCCTGTAAAACGTTCGTTGGTTTCTGAAAAATTATAATAATAAGTATTACACTAACGAACTAACAAAGTATTAATGTTTGTAATTTGTTCTTGCAAAAATAAGCTGTTTCTGGTCGTCCTAAATGAAACATTATTTTACACTACGAGTTACACTTTTCAAAAACATCAACTACGAAATAAACGTAAGCATAGGAATATGATATCTGCTTTAGATCTAATTACTTGGGGATAAAAACAACAAGGTTATTACAAAGGTCTTTAAAAACTGGAGTGGTGATCCACCTCTTTATAAGAAAACACTTGCAGTGTTTCAGCTTGGGCAAGGACGAATATACAGGAGCAGGAGAAACATGTTAAGGTAGATTTTTTTTCAACTTTATAAATAAGTTTACGTAATCGTAGTAAGACGATGCAGGACAGTACAATCCTTCTAATGTAGTGCAAGTGATTTCATTTAATCAGCAGCTGCTAAAGTTATTGTTATTTGAATGCACAAGGCCTATTTTACTTCTACGGTATGGTCAGCTAATGTAGTGCAAGTGATTTCATTTAATCAGCAGCTGCTAAAGTTATTGTTATTTGAATGCACAAGGCCTATTTTACTTCTACGGTATGGTCAGCTAATGTAGTGCAAGTGATTTCATTTAATCAGTAGCTGCTAAAGTTATTGTTATTTGAATGCACAAGGCCTATTTTACTTCTACGGTATGGTCAGCTAATGTAGTGCAAGTGATTTCATTTAATCAGTAGCTGCTAAAGTTATTGTTATTTGAATGCACAAAGCCTATTTTACTTCTACGCTATGGTCAACTAGTCTACCCACTGATTTTGTTACTAAGCTAATAACTTTTAGTACTAAATTCAGATGTACATGTATTAACTTAGTGTTATGTAAGGTTGTGATTTACCATTAATTACTGTGTGCAAGTCTAGTGGTCATATATAATTAAGGGGGCTTGATTAAATGTGTATTAGTTATTATATATAGATGTTTGTCAAACAGCCGCCTCCCAAGAACTTAATCTGGATCCGCCCCTGAGCCAAAGCCGATACTTAATCGCATTACAAGCACAAAGGTCAATATATAGAAGTTATCTCCTGTTTGTCGCTAAGATCGTATTCACTTTGCGAACCATTTCAAGCATTTCTTGCTGTTTACACCGGTGTTAGCTTAGTTCAGTTTACGTGACACTAAACTGACAAATAATTCTGAAGCCAATCACTAACGAAGAACACTTTTTTGTGAAAGTAATATATATATTATATACACACACTACTTACTTTTATTTTGCGTACAAGAAATGAAGACACTTATGTATCACTGTAAGTTTATATAAAACCAAAACTTACTTGTTACTAGTAAGTAACTATACAGAGATCTACATGTTACTGGTAACGTATACGTAAAACCTGATAAAAATCTACATGTTACTGGTAGCGTATATATTAAACCTGATAAAAATCTACATATTACTGGTAACGTAAACGTAAAACCCGATAAAAATCTACATGTTACTGGTAACGTAAACGTAAAACCCGATAAAAATCTACATGTTACTGGTAGCGTATACGTAAAACCTGATACAAATCTACATGTTACTGGTAGCGTATACGTAAAACCTGATACAAATCTACATGTTACTGGTAGCGTATACGTAAAACCCGATAAAAATCTACATGTCACTGATAACGTATACGTAAAACCCGATAAAAATCTACATGTCACTGATAACTTACATAAAACTAAATAGAAATCTACATGTTACTGAAAACTTACGTAAAACTAAATAGAAATCTACATGTTACTGGTAACGTACCTAAAACTAGATAGAAATTACCTTGTTAATGGTAACTTATGTACAATTAAATAGAAATCTTGTTGATATTGGCGATTTATGTAAAACTAAGCAAAACAAGCAGTTTTTGATTTTGTGAGAGGAAACCACATTTATTTTTCTGTAACTAGAATAGTTGAAATACAAAGATAGCTACACCTGAATATTACACACTCTGGTGGTTCGAAATCAGTCCCGCAATTAAACGATTTTCTCTACCTGTATTTAGCATTACGAACACCCAGAGAACCGTAAAACTACTGCCTACAATGTTATGTAATATTAAAACAACTTTTACGCCAACAAAACTAACACTCAGTATTAAGTAAAGTATTAAATACAACTCATAAAAACACTGCTTGAAAACATAAATATTTTCAAAGTCTTATGAAAACATATTACCGAAACCAACAAATGTACTAGCTAATACTGTTTGTTAAGCACAAAGCTACACAATAGCTAATTCTTCTGTGACAACAACAGGAATCAAAACCTGCATTTTAATCTTACGAGTCCTCAAGCTTATGACCCACCAGGGGAGTACCGACTAATGCTAAAAGAACTGATGGTTAATATCACTATTTTAATAGCGTTTAGTGGTTAATATTATGGAAATCAGTCAAGGTTTAGATTTGAATTTTGCTCAAAATGTGAAATGGGCTATTTGTACTGTGCCCACGCGAATATTGAAATTCGATTTTTAGCGCTATAAGCCCTCAGTCTTACCGCTGAGATACCGAAAGGCTAACGGTATGTCTGCGGACTTACAACGCTAGAAACCGGGTTTCGATACCAGTGATGGGCAGATCACAGATAGCCCATTGTGTAGCTTTATGCTTAACTTCAAACAACAACAACCGAAGGGCTAAAAAACAAAAGGAACAAAATAAAAATTTCAATAGTGTCATAGGTTGAAGGATAAATATTTGTATCTAGCTCTAAAAAATGTAAAATAAGCTCTATTATAATTTTTACCCTTCTTTATATCAATCAAAACAGTAATGAGCTTGTATTTAATATATTGGCTTCAGTACTACAAATTATTTCTGTTTTATCCTACGAAACAGTAGAAAATAATCCAAAGTTTTAATAAAAAGACATGAAATACTTTATGTATTGTGTTAATAAACAACGATATTAGTCAGCGCTTTCAATAAGTTACCAAAACTATCAAAAGAACATTTCCAATAAATCAGTTTGGATCCAATAAACTTAATGTTAACGTATCCACTGTCTTATGAACCACTCAGTTTTGATACTACAGGATCGTTTAGAGAACATTTCCAGTTAATCAGTTTGAATCCACTAAATTTAACATTAACTTATTCACTGTCTTATGAACCACTCAGTTTTGATATAGCAGGTTCATAGAGAGCTCTGCGCATTATCCATATTTTTCTTAATATCATTATTAGTTAAATGCATTAAACACCAAGAAAATAAAAATTTAACATGCAATTTTTGAAGTTTCTCCAGAAACTGGGTTTGTTTAGTTTTGTAAATGGTTTCAAATTAATAACTTTAAACAAACATCTTACACAAAAAATTCCAGATTCTACTTTGTTGAAAACCTGTAAAATACATTACTTAAAATTATAATAATAATATATGTTATTAATACATGACGTATTAACCAAGTTTCATCATTTTTACCCAATACAACCTGGTCTTCTTTGCACTGCTAAGCACTCGCGATTGATATTTAATTATATGTGGTCAGATAGGAAACTTATTGATCTCGGGGAAATGCTGGATTTATGAACGTATGGAATCGTGGTTCGCCCCAACTTTCCATTCTCTTGAGGTCGGACGTTGTTAAGCTCTGTTGATCACAAGATGGAACCTTAACCGACAGAAGTGCATTTCTTGGCTGCTGTCTTCTATTGGTCACTCGAATCAGTAATAATCTGATGCCTCTTCAGCCTTTATAGACTCTCTCATGATGATAACGTTGGTCATTGTTTGGAGTCGCATATGTTATCTTAGTGCTGCACTTCACGACTATCACAAGGCGCATTACTTTCTATTGGGGTGACTCTGCACCACGGACACAGGACAATGGTAATCACGTGCTCCTTGTTATTTGAGTTATGAACTTTCTGATAACATTCATTCTCTCAAAAGAACAACTCGTCTCATCTGAAAACCGCCCACTCTACAGAAACAATAAGGTATTTTCATTGGGAAGAAAGCAAGCAAGGATTTTCATTTGAATGCTCAGGACGAATAAAAATATAAAATACCCACCTCCCCTCTAAAAAAAAAACTCGTGTCTTTCTAAATATATTGGGTAGAAATAAACTGTTGAATGTCTCACGAACAGAATGGCAACTATCTCGAAAAACGTGCACTTACAAGTACCTTTATTGCCTATATAATGTGAAATTTTAATTATATAGCTATCTCGGTCAGACATTCGTACAACGCTCCTGGTAGTGTTGCTAAGCTACCTTATTTATCTTTACCCTGTTCTGGTTGCCACTCATGAATCGTGTTAAACAGTTTCTGTTACTAACACACACACAACCATGATAACACTAGCCACTTATTGGTTAGTATCGTACCACAAACATAACATACCCGGGGTTGTTCATAAGCCAAGCCTTGAAAGCAGCCCCCCCCCCCACCACACACACACTTCAAAAACCACAAAAATAATGTATGTCTAACATCCTATTATTCATACCAAATCTTAGCTACAAACTCAGAAGAATCTCCAGCAAATTCGATATTAGAGCTTGCCTCAGATCTGGAGAACCAAACAAACCACTGATCCAACAAAACAAAATCACGTGATTTAGAGTGTACCCTGAAAATGTGGTGAAATACACAAGAAAGAATAAAAAACTGAGGCTAGGGGAACACGCTGACGCAACAACTCTTCCACCTTGAAAAATCAACAACGCCTCCTAACGGGAAAATGTCAGAAATATATAATCCTAGACACTAAACAAAATTGGAAATTTGGGAAGCATGAGACACTCTTAGAATAAAAACTGAAAAACCAAGCAGAAAACAGAACCAATGAGCAGAAACAAGCAAGATTTGGAACCACATTCTGAAGTCTAAACAAAACAGGATTAACTCACAACCAATAAGAACCAACAAGAATCCTCTCTGAAGTCCATGTCACAAAATTGTTATGATCAAGCAAACTTTGAGCTCCACCCACAATTAAGTTCCAGGCC